CGGCGAATCCCTTAAGCCCTTCTCGAAGTTTTTTCAGAAGATAAATTGCTGAATCGATTTGCCGTTACTCACGAAAAAAATAAAAATAACGAAAAAAAAATAACGAAAAAAAAACATAGAAAGTATCCACATTGTTGCTTTTAGGTTTAAAAAAAGTGTATAGAGGGTATTATCAATTCCCTTTTAATTTAACACCTAATTGTCCGTGTAATATGACACATTGTACCATTTATAATTTTTTTATAATTTAAGGAAACATTTTCAGTATTTTAAGTATTTTAACACTTTTTCCTTTATACAGGTTAAATCCTACTTTTTTTTTAACTATGTATAGAAGTCGTTAAAATGAACATATTTTTCAAAAAAACTTTTTTTTAAAACTCTTAAATAAGGAAGATAAGAGGATTAAAAATCTAAATCCGAGGCGTATTTGTGTATGAAAAGTAACGCTAAACAATATTTAAAAGTCTATCAACTAATTGACCTTTTAATATTATTCATAAAATCAGACCTTGATAAAAATTTGATAAAAATATATTGGCCTATGTCGATATTTACGAATCACCCTGTATAAATGGCACCTAATATCTTTTGTATTATCGTTAGATATGATAAATATAGTAATAATTTATTTTTTATTAAAAATTTTCACCTTCTAGAACAGTGGTCGCCAACCTGTCGATCGCGAGCTACCGGTAGCTCGCGGAGGCAATTCTGGTAGCTCTCACAACGATTTTAATTTAAAAAATACAAACTGCAATAATCAGAGAAGCTTCCGAAAATTCCACAAAAAAATCTAATTGTCATAATATTAAACATAAACGGCGGCAACGTTGCGGTGAGCGATCTGCCGCTGACGCCATCAAGCTAGAATCGGCTAGAACCGACCAGCCGTACCAGCGCGTTAATGTTCGAGAACGATCAGGATTGCTTTGAACGGGATAATTACGCACGGCGCGGCGACATTGCGCTTAGTTTAAAACTGAACGCGTAACCAACGTCCAGCGGTTGGGTTAGTAGAAAACAACAAAAAATAATATTATGGCCAGCAGTTGTAAGAAGGTAAAGACAAACAATACTTTTTTACAGAAGTTAAAGATAAAAATGTGTGTTTGTTATGTAATACTTCGGTCTCCGTTGCTAAAAAAGGAAATATTTAGAGACATCATAAAACTGTACATTCTAATTTTGAAAAATCATTCCCACTACATTCTGCCGCCAAAAAGGAGAAACTGAAACAGTTAAAAAAGCAGTTAATTGGACAACAATCAAAATTTTTAAGAACAGTCGACAAAAATAAGGCTGCAACTGAAGCATCGTACCGTGTGTCCCAGATAATTACACAAAAAAAGAAACCTTATGAAGACGGGGAAATGATAAAATAGGCATTTTTAGAAGCTGCTGATTCGTTATTTGCCAACTTTAGAAATAAAGACGAGATAGTTTCAGCTATAAAATCTATGCAACTTTCTGCTAATACAGTGATGAGACGTGTAGAAGTAATGAGCAATGATATTTTTTTACAGTTAAGAACTGACTTAGATAACTGTGTTTATTTTTCACTTCAACTGGATGAATCAACAGATGTCGTTGACACTGCCCAGATGGTCGTGTTCGTCAGGATGGTTTTTAGTGATTTTACGATTAAAGAAGATCTTTTGAAGTTTATTCCACTGAAAGGACACACTACTGGACAGGAGTTGTGTTCTCATTTAAAAAATATTATTTCTTCCGAGAAAATTCCAATATCGATAATGGTAGGCTTGACAACCGATGGCGCTCCAGCTATGGCAGTTTGTGATAAGGGTCTGGTGGCGTTATGTCGTAAAGATGAAACTTTTCCGCAATTTCTCTGTTACCACTGCATTATCCATCAGCAAGCATTATGTGGAAATTTCCTGAAACTAAACAACGTTATGAAACTACTGGTGGTAAAAATTGTGAACAAGATTAGAGCTCAAGCGTTACAAAGAAGATTATTCAAAACCTTGGCCGATGAAGTTAACTGTCAATACGGGGACCTACTCCTTCACTCTGAAGTCCAATGGTTAAGTATAGGACGGGTGCTGAAACGTTTTAATGATGTCCTATCTGGCATAGTTCAATTTTTCAAACAACGCGATTCACCGACTCCGGAACTAGAAAATTTAATCTGGCTTAGAGATTTTGGTTTTCTCGTGGACATTACAGAGAAATTAAACGAACTTAATTTGCAGCTTCAGGGGAGAGACAAAGAACTAGCGGAAATGATTTCTGATATAAAAGCATTTATCAAAAAGCTGGAGTTTTGGGAACAAAACCTAATTAACAGCGATGCCAAGCATTTTCCTATTCTTTCAGAAAAAATATCCAAAAATCCATTAGAACCCTATGACAGCAAATATCATGTAGAAATAGTTTCTACCCTGAAGAATAACTTCAAAAATCGTTTTAAGGATTTCAACGAAATGGCTTTAGTAGCGCAGTTTGTTGTTTCACCCTTTATGGAAATTGATATCCAACAGTTTGCAACTTGTGTTATGCAGAACTTTGGCGAAGACATCGCTGCAACAGAAATGAAAGTAATTGAGTTTCAAAATGATTTAGTCTTAAAATCGTTAGTTTCAAGTACCAAATGTATCTGGCCTATTGTAAGTAAAGACAAATATTCAGTTCTATGCCGTGTTGCCTTGAAAGTGAAAGCATTATTCAGCTCAACCTATTTGTGTGAATCTTCTTTTTCCAATATGAAGTTTATTAAGAACAAATATCGCAATCGACTTACAGATGAACATTTGGATAATTGTATTCGAATGGCTGTATCAAATTATACTGCAAACATTAAAAAAATTATCGATGAGTCTGAGTGTCAGCCTTCTCATTGAACGTGCTTTTTTATTTTTCAATGTTTATGTTCATGATAGTGCGTTACTTTTTTGTTGTTATTATTAACTATTTTTAAATCTTACGTGACATGCCGTTGTGGCTGGATAAAAGTTTGTGTTTATTTTTCAAACACCTTCGTTTGGTAGGTAGGAATGTAGCTATGAACAAGTACGTACTAGTAATATTAGTTATTTTGTTATTAGTTTATTATTAGTACCTATGTATTATGTATTACCAGTTAAATAGTAAAATAAATACATATAATGATAAATTAACTGTGGATTATTTCATTTACGTTGCGTTACGTGGCTTCCGTGTGGGTAGCTTGCTGTTTATTCCAAAATTAACAAAGTAGCTCAACACATTGAGAGGTTAGCGACCACTGTTCTAGAACAATAAAAGTATTTATCAAAAATATGTCCTTACTTATTAGTGGCCCATCCTATAAAGAAAAATAATTTTTGAACCCTTTTTATATTCGTAAAATTCCAAAAGATGTTAGAATAAGATTTTGCATAAAAAATTATAATACATTAGCTTTCTCCCGAAATAAACGTTATTAAATAAGTGATATTTCTTAAGTTTAACACCCTGTATCTCAAAAACCAGTGATAGGATTTGAATGGTCCCATAGACACTATTGCTTAACTGCAACTTATCAAAAATTTATAACATTTAACAGGTCGCCATTTTTCCATAAGCGGTGTGCGGTGTTCTTTTTATGCATGCGAAATTTCTACAGCTACTTTCATTGTGTACTTTTACTAATTAGCATGCTTTGCTTATTCTAGTTTATGATCTTAATACGCGTGAAATGTTTTGGTAAATAATTAGTGCAAATAAACAAAGGAAGATGAAAAATATAAAAATATGTAAATGCACACAATATGAGTTACTTGAAGTCAATGATACTACACACCTAGTGGACGATACGTCATAATCTTAGATTGATTGGTATTATCAAGGTAAGATAGTGTTTTTTTTTTATTTGGTAAAATAATTAGACATATATGTGTTCAGATAAGAATTTTCTTTATGATTTTGTGTATGTGCATGTGCATGTTCGTCATGACATATACATGATAAAAAATTTATAAAATATTTATATAAATCAATATTTTTTCATTGTGTAAGAATATCGAAAATAAACAATACAATTTTATTTAAGAATTAAAGATCGTATTATAATATTAGACAATACAGTTCATTTTCGGTTAATTTAAAATTTAACAATCAATACTAAATACTTAAGGTATTCCCATCCTAAGTATATATTATTATTCCCTAATATGAACAAGCTATCTTAATGTATTCTGCCAAAATATACCATAAGTAAATATAAAAATATAAAATATAAATTCTACACAAGAATAACTCATTTTAATGTATATTTATTCTAAATAATTAACAAATATACTAATATACTAAATTAATTTGACAGGATTGTCACTTATGTAAAATAAAAAAAAATAATAGTAGTAGCCGGGTGACCATTTTTTTGCAGTGTTCTTATTAGGTAGAATGGATATGAAATATATTCGTTCAGTTGAACGTAATAACATACTTTTTCGTTTTATAGTATGTGTGTAAAATTTTATATTTATATAAATTGATTTCCCCTTGTACTATGGGGCTGCACCCCTACAGCCCTTATAGGAACCACTTAACAAACTGTAGTTTAATTTTAGTTAGTTGACCTGAATGAATTAATGTTTATTATTATAAATCAATAAGTTTACAAATATAATTTAAAAATATACATACATAAAAAACAGAAATTTACACGTTAAAAATATAGAATTATAAAATTATTTAAAATGCAAAAACATTAAAAATATAAAAAACATTACCTAATGTTAGAAAATATTATCTTATAAGAACATAAAATTGAACCATAAAATTATAAAAATCTAATGTTCCATTATTATAAAATAGGCAACTAACTGCCTTCCTAAAAACCAAAACATAATTCGTCCTTTCACATCATCCTCTGCAGCCCTGCTTATTTGTATAATTCCATAATTTTTTCTTTAAAAATGTCTCTCGCACCTAAGATCCCGTAATGCAATAAAAAATGATAGTTACCTCATATAGATAGATATTTTTATTTTATCTACAATAAGTACCCACATTATAAAAACGATAAATTTTTGATTGATGTTCGATTATTTAGATATATAACAGACGCTTTTATCTAATTATTTTTATTTGTTGTATGAAATTTCATCCAAGTAAGTGCTAATATATATTTGTTATTTAAATATTCGTATAATTAATAAGTTTCTAGTAAACAAAACTAATGTAATTTTTGCTTGAATTACAGCACCTGCTTTTTTTAATGAATTGATGTATATTTTGTTTCTAAATTAAAAATGACGTCATTCCAACTACATGAGAAAACCTTTATGACATGCGATTCTCTAGATACTTTTATTTTCTAGTATTTTTTTGAAATTTAACCAAATATTAACCATTTATTTTTAGAAAATAATGAAAATCATCCCATTTACATTATTTATCGCTACATGCTCCTTAACAATAGCATCTGAAGTCAGATATGACAACTTCACGCTGTACAGACTCATTCCTAAAAGTTTATCCGAAGTTAACATTCTAACCGACCTGGAAACTTCTCATTTGGGCGGGTACGATTTCTGGACGCATCCCAAAGATGTTGGCGTATCCGTCGATGTTTTGGTATCACCTGATAAGAAAAGTAGCATTAAAGACATGATGAATAGCAATAATATCCAATATGAAGTTGTAATTGAGAATGTTCAAGAGAAGATCGAAGAAGAAGCAAAATTGAACGAAGCTAATTTCAAAGGTGGCAAAGTTGGGTTTAGTTGGACCAGTTATGCCAGAATTGACCAGGTAAATATTTATATTATTTTCTAATATGGGTACAGTTGGTTCCAAATTGATATATTACCATCTCGGTTATTATACCTTTTCATTTTTGAGATTATTATTATTATTAGATATAAATAAGGGCAACCTATTGTCCCTATTAACTCAAATGGATGTAATTTTTGTACCTTTCACTTTAGAAACCAAAGATCTAGCAACAGACCAGGAACCAGATATGGAACTACGAGATATTCTTACAAAAAACCACGATTCACTACAATAGGTTCTCAAAACTCTATTTTCTGTAATGTAAGTGGTGAGAAAATTTGACCATTTATCCCAAAAACCTTACGCTATACCGTTTTCAATATTCTTTATGATTTGGCACATCCTGGAGTAAAAGCTACAGTAAAATTAGTCTGGTATAAGTAGAAACATTGCTTAAAGAATTTCCATTTCCTGATAAAGATTCCAGCACGTTCATTGGATATTATAGACTCACTCCCATCTTGTAAATATCGCTTTTCTAAATGGTCTGTAGCAGTACCACCACTTAGTGACATTCCTAACTATTTTTTTTTATTATATTATAGATTTATGATTGGCTTATTATGCTAAGCAGTCAGTATCCTCGCATAGTCACAGTTATCGAAGGAGGAAGAACTTCTGAAGGTAGAAGAATATTGGGAGTAAAATTATCCTTCCAGCCAGGCAACGAAAGAAGAGGTGTATGGCTGGACTCTTTGATTCACGCCAGAGAATGGTAAGCCCGAGATTTTATTAATTAAGTAGTATTTTGTTTTACTATTCGTAATTCTAATACAGAGTGTCCCAAAATAAACTGTGTTTAGATAATGTAATAATAATAATAATAATACTAATACATTCCCAGTTAGCGCAGAAACTAAACCTAACTACTAAAAATCCTCCATCTTACTATCGCTATAATCTAGAGCCGATTTTAGAATCAAGGGAAAACATTTTATATTGGGATCGACCGATACTTACTGATCGAACAGTGGACTACAACCGACCTGATATCGTCATTATCGGGAAAGAAAATAAAGAAGCATTTATTGTAGCCATAACGTTCTGAAAACAGAATTAGGAAAAACTACAAAATATGAAAATCTTGCCATAGAAATAAAACATGTTTGGATTTAAATAATCCCAATAGTAGTTTCGGTTACAGGAATTGTCTCCATTAACCTTTTAAAACAACCAGAAAAACTAAATATACCTCCCATTATAACACATCTACAAAAAGTAGCCATCCTACAGACTTGCCATATAGTGAAGAAATTTTTGGGCGTGTTCTTCTTCAACTATACCAATTGAAACCGGCAAATAGCTGAGAAAAATCAAAATAAATAATAATATATTTTTTTCTACATTCATAATAACAAAAATACAGTAATTTGACAATTAATTCAGATAGGGTGTAAGAAAAAGCCGAAGATATATATTTCAAAGAAACATAGATACAACCTCTGTTTTTCATCTTAAACTATTTTATTTTTCGATTTTAGGATTGCTGGAGCCACCACTACTTTTATTTTGAACGAATTACTAACAAGTACCGATCCAGGTGTAAGAGAAGTAGCCGACAATCATGATTGGTACATTTTCCCGGTAATCAACCCAGATGGGTATGAATATACCCACACCACTGTAAGTTTTTAATAATAACAATCTTCACTGAATTAATTATTTTTCAATCTTTGTCTCGTTAAATAACAGTAAAGAAGTTGCATTTCTAATGCCCTTAAAACGTATACATTTGTGAATAAATTTATAAAGTTTCATGTCATAAATGTCAGCTTAATTAGTATAACAAATTAAATAAATTGTAAAAAAGTAAGGTTAAATGTTTAAAGTAATATGACCGGGACGATAGATTATCTAAGATAAACTGTAAACCACTTCTTCTTTATTTAAAAGCAATGTCATATTTTTTCAAGTTAATATTGGTACTTTACAAAAGACAATCTCCTTTTCTAATTTTTTTTTTTTACACCTTAATTTATATTTTTTTCCTTGTAGTTCTTGAGTTTTTAGGTGCTGGTTGAGACCACATACCCACATACACGATTTTCATTTCTCAACCAGCACCTAAAAACCCAAGAACTACAAGGAAAATTTTTTTTTCAAATTGATCAGTGACATGCTATTACAGCCATTTGACGAAAAAAAAATTCAATTCAATAGACACGCCGTGAACTATTTGGTTCAATTTTTGAATTCACTGAATCCATCTGATCCTCAAGGTACCAAAACAGTAGGGGAGGTCCGCCAACAGTGGCCACCCTTTTTTATAAATTGGCATAAGTTCTAAACTGACCATATTTACCAACTCCAAATTAACTTGTAGAGATTGTCATTGATAAAAGTATTACCACTTTTACCCAAAAAGTTTTGTACAATTCAAGAAAAAAATTATCGAAAAAAAATTGTTTTTTTGGCCACTGTACCAACTAGTATGGTACAATGAAAACATTTTAAAGGTACAGTGGACAGACAACAACTTCTCCTAAAAATATTTTTTATTGGGTCAAAACATAAAACAGAAACATAGAATTCATGAAGCAGATCATAAATTCAGTCTAATATAGATTGTAATTAGTCAGGTCCATGGAAAAGTGATGGTACCGTTGAACTCTTGCGGTGCCTCCCGTCGATACCGGAGTTGGTAATGACATCACGATGTCTTCTGGTGGGACATCTGGTGGGACATCAGGAAAAGAAAACTTGTTTTTTCTCGTCTTTTTCTTAGAAAGCTGACACTATATTCTTCAAACTTGTTATCCATGTCCGTAACTTGGCCCACACAATATTTAACTTGTTTTTTTGTAGCAAATTTTACTAAGATAAAGCTTCCAACCAAAATGTCACCATCGCAATTCTGATCTCTAGGTTCTTCAGTCCAATCAATGTTTTTGTATTGGCCGTCTCTGTATTAAAGCTGAAATTTTTTCTTGTAGTGGACTTGCTTTTGTTTAAATTTTTTTTTCTGGATTCCTTTAAGTGATCCTGTTCCTGGATTTCCTTCAATATCGAAGTGCTGGTCAATATTTCCGTAGTTTTTTTTTGTCTTTTTTGTACCATTTTTTTAATCTGATTAGTTTTTGGGTATGGCCTTAACCTCGGGACTAAAAACTTTTTGTGGTGGAGTTATCTCTTTTTGGTTTTGAAAATCTCTACAGCTTGAGCCCGCTTCTTCTAGTAGGCTATTTTGTTTTTGTGGTGTAACTTTGGCAGTGTCTTGGCTGGGATTAATTTCTTCTGGTTCATTATCTTCTTCGAGAGATATGTCAGTAACTTGGGTGGCCAAAAAATTATAGTCAATGAAAATGTTTGAAATAAACGGGTATATTCGCGTAGCTCTGAAACCCGAAATTATTTGTAGAAAATGCGTTGACCAGAATGGTTCATCAACCATGAACGGCAGGCACTATTATAGTGCGATTTCAGCGGACCATAGACAGCTCTGTCCAGTGGCTGCAGTTTGTGGCTCGTATGAGGAAGCAAAGTAAGTAAAGTTATGTTATTTGCTCGAGCCATTTTTATTGCTGTGTAAGAAATGTGACTAATGTGGTTGTCCATTATGAGAAGAACTGGCAACTCTTGTGTTGGTTGAGTATAGGATATAAAATGCTACAGTTACTGAACAAATATTAGCGATGTCATTCAACCCAAGGGTGATGTTACTTCTATGGTTCCATTAGGTGTACCTTTAATCATGTGATTCTTAAAGAATTTTCTCGGAACTATTAACAGCGGCGGTATATTATTGCCATCCGCATTTATTGCACCACATATTATCACCAAGGTCCCTCTTTCATTGGACGTTATTTGACCAACTTGTCATTAGCCTTTCATAGCAACCACTTTACCTGTCTCTTGTACTGTGGTCAGAGCAGTTAGTCGATGTTATATATTTTATCAGACCTGAAGTGATGCTTTTCAATGACTTTTTGCAACTTCTAAACGACAACTTTATTAAAACCCATAGCACGACCCAAGGATGTAGCTTCAGCTGTTCGAATAGAGAGAGGATATCTTTTGAGATAATTGGTCATCCAATATTTTCCTGCCATTTCATTTTTGAACCAAGAGGGATGAATTCGCTTGCTATATTCTGCTGCCAATGAAAATGCAAACTTTCTGACATCTTTTGGAGTGAGTCCATGATTCAATTTGGCACACATTTGGAGATATTGACAAAGCTCTGTTTCTTCCGCAATAGAAAATATTCGATTTACATTACAATTGGGCGACAATCCAGTTGTAACATTTGCTATGTCTTCATCATTTTACCAAATTTTTTTTTATATCTCCTAAGGGTAGTTCTTGGAATATCGTGACGAATTGCGGCTGTTTTTACAGAAAGATCATGTTTTTTCATACTACAAAGAGCATTTATCATGGTGTCTGGAGGAATTTTTCCAATTAAACCAGATCTTTTCGTCATCGGCTATGGCATTTTTACTTTCCTATCTGTATACAGATATAAGAAAAGTATAGGAATCATAATTTTTTTCTTTCTGAAATAAAAAAAAAAAACATCGGGAACAGTGGACACTACTTCTATTCTTTAAGAGCAGTGGCCACTGTTGCGAATCAGTTTGTGGCCACTGTAGCAGAGAGAGAAGAAAATACACTTTACCTAACCACAAAAAAATTGATAGGAATTTTTGCACTTTAGCGTCATCATACGCTTTATCTAAGTCAAGATAGGGAATACAAATAACAGTAGTGTACTTACCAATAACGGATATATACACCGAAAAAAATCAGCGAAATATGTAGCTTTTTACGTTAGAAATACGCATAAACTAAGCGCTGCCGCGAATGGCGATATACTGAAAATTCGCATTATTTGAAGAGGATGAAGTACCTGACGAAGTAGATACACCTGGGCCTCAATTCTCGACTTCACCGGAAAATTTTCCCATGGATAAATATTCCCATGCTTATATTCCAGTGGTATTATAAAATGGTATTCTCGACTAGGTTAGGAACCTTTTTCCTATGGGAATTTCGATTATTCGTATGTCTAACGTATGTCGGGTATTAAGTATGTAAATATTGGAAACTGACCAATCATAATTAATATTATATTTCAATACTTTCAAGTAGTAATGTTGGGATCATTGATTATATCGTCAACTTTTGACTATTGTTTTGCCACTTGCCATCTTGTCAGAGAAAACAATCAACCCCCTTTTTTTAGAAAATAACGTGAAAATATATCATGTGCTGAACCTAGTACAAGGGGCACAATAAAGCCCAAACGAAGAGTAGCTGCTACAAGGTTAACTAAAACCTTGAATACTAGCCGAAATATTGAACGCATGTTACAAAATAAAAACTTTAATAAAGAAAATTATTATGACAAAAAATTCAAGTTATTACAGTTCATCAAATTTCTAGAGGTGTTCGACGCCCAGACAGAGAACGCGCTACGTGTGACTAAGATAGCTATTGTACAGTCTGCTAAACAAGTTATTTTAAATAGTTTTTAATATTTTTAGGTAGTTAAATTTTAAAAGTGTGGAATAGTTTAGGGATTAAATTGGTCTGATTGGACTTTCTTAGAACGTTTTTAAAAGCAGCTAAAGATAGTATGTAGAATTGAAAATAATTATTATGCCATAAAAGGTGTTTTGGAATTCCTTCAACATTTTGAAATTGAGTCAGAAAATATAAATTTTATAGGATAGCGGAAAATACCTACAATTTTTTTGTAGGCCTTTGTAAATCGTGGAAATAGTTTATATTTTATTTCTACCTTATTAAGGAAAATGGTACCTATTATTAATAACGGTTGTTTCTGAAACATTACTAAAATTTTCGAAATTTTGTTTTTCTACAAAATAATAAACTATACTATTTAGAAAAAAATTTATTTCTTTTATAATTTTATAAAAAATAACAGGGGAATATTTACATTTCTTGATCTATTAAACAAAACGATAAATTATCTCGACGAATGACACCATGTTCTAGTACGGAAGCTAGCTTTACATTTTTGTTGGTGGTTTCATGGGTTTCATATCAATTTTTTGTAATTGTAGTTTACACGTACATATACCTCTTAACACTTGTTTGCTTTATTAAAAAAGTGTGTTGTTGTGATTTACGTCGAAATAAGTCAAAAACAACTTGAAACCCCATATAAAATCAAAAAGGAGAAACGGAAAAAAATTGAGCCTGTAAATGAACACAACTCAGAAACAAAAATAGCTATCTAATAATAAAAAAATAAAATTTGATTCTTGTGTAGCTTCATCTATATCATTAACTGTTTTTGGTTTTTTAATGGTTTTTCTTGGTGATGAAAATTCCGATATCTCACGGTTATCGATTCTTTTTTTCTCTCCAGAAATGCGGACGACAGTGTTTTTAGATATTCCTGTGGCTGCAGCAACACGATCATTTACATTTTTAAATGGTATTGAAGGTGAATTAAAGTTTCCTTCTCTTCTCATAAACTCTATAACATTGGCTATTATTTCGCGAGATTGACTGTTAATCACGCGGCCTCTTAATTTGCTATTAAACTCCATACTTAGGTTCTATTAAACTGTAATGAGCAAAAAACACAAACGAAAATAAAAGAAATGTTTTAGCGTAATTTACATCTGACATTTACGTCTGAATGAAATAGTGAAATACCTGATGCGCAGAGTGTACTTTCATTGCGTAAATCCGTCGGGATGCCTGTCAGTAGTGCTTTCTCTGTCTAGCCGTCGAAAGCCTCTAGAAATTTGATGAACTGTAGAGAGAAATGTTTTGGCAAAAGAACGAATAACTTGTGCCTTGGAAAAAATAGCAGAAACAGAGGAATTTTAAGGATATTTAAGAGTGTTCAATATTTTAGCTTCAAGTTTTTTAACATCTCATTATGTTATTAACAGTCGCTATTTATTTTGCGTAATAGAACAAAATTTATTCTGAAATAGCCTATTCATATTAATGAAACAAAATTTATTCTGGGATTGCTTATTCTAGAAAACTTGCGTTGATCATATTTGAGAAATTGTCTATCATTTAAGGATTCAAAGGGATCCCCTGCCTCATTTTTCCACTTAGACCAAAAATCTCTTGGGACATTAATTGCTCTTCTTTCTGCCTCTTCTATATTGTTTAATTGGGAAAGTAAAATAGCTTCATCCATTTTAGGAAAGGTATATTAGTAATAATAATATATAAATATTATTATTTGAAGTAACTAGCAAATGTCACCGGTGACAGATTCCCATTGGAAATTTGATTTCCCATGCCAAATACCAGGTGTATTTGCTCCCATACTTTTCGTGAGAAAATATTCCTAGTGGATGCGTCGAGAATACAAAATATAAATTCCCATAGGAAAATGATCTTTTCCCCATGGGAAAAAAAGTCGAGAATTGAGGCCGGGAAGAAGCTGCTAGTTTATGATACTTTAATTAAAGAGAACCGACCACAAGTGCACAGTAATGACAAAGCTGCTGAAATTACTTTTTATTTAAACCAACCATTGGAAGATTTGAAAAAACAAACCCCATTAAATTTTGGAACTCCCAAATGTTTGTGAACCTTCGTAAAAAAGCTGTAGGATACTTCTGTATTACTGCTGCATCGGTACCATCAGAAAGGCTTTTTTCAGAAGCAGGCTGACTCCTGAAATATTTGATAGGCTGTTGTTTTTGAATTGTTTGGAGAGAGAAGATTGGTGTTTAGATTAAAATAAACAAAGGGGCGCTACTACTAGACATCACATTGCACTAATATCAACGGGGTGGCCACTGTACTTGGTATGGCCACTGTTGGCGGACGTCCCCTACTCGGTTACAAGTTGAAATACTCCATACAAATCTCATAAAGCTATTATTTTGATCGCATGTGTTCAAGGTAAGATCTTGTTTGTGTCGTGGATTCCTTTAATATCATCCAGTGATCTTCCTTTTGCTTCTAAGACCATAAATAAATAACAGGGTCAAACTTTAAAAGTCAACAGCTTAGATTTGTAGGAAAATTGTTTCTCCTACGGCCAGTTGTACGCTTGCTCGCATATCAGGCTGTTTATTTTGTCGCCATCACAAAAACAAACCAAAAAAACATAGTTTACTGGAAATCTATCAATTTCTTAATTAATTTTAGAATCGACTTTGGCGTAAAACCAGGAAACAATACGGCGTGGTATGCTACGGAGCTGATCCAAACCGAAACTGGGGCTTCAGATGGAACACTGGTGGATCAAGTAGCCAGCCCTGCAGCGACACCTATGCCGGACCAAATTCGTTTTCGGAAATCGAAACTGACACCTTATCTCGCTATTTGCGAAGCATTGGCCAAAATATAGTCGCTTACATCAGTTTCCATTCTTATTCGCAGATGATTCTTTTGCCATATGGACACACGGCGCGACATTTGGACAATTACAATCAAGTTGTAAGTCGTATTTATTTTATTTTTTATTTTTTTAATCATACATCCAACGACCTAGGCCCATTACAGAATCAATATACATTAATAAACATTATGGGTATATAATACAACAAATAGTGAAAAAACATTATAAAGTTAAATTACAAATACTCACAATTTTTCGAGATGTTGATCAGAATGAGGTATTGATCAGTTTTTAATAAGGTTTTATCATCTTTGACATTATTTATCTTTCCTAAGCTAGACGAAGCTCCTCAATACTCTTCAGGCTGACATGTATAGGTGACAGGTGACACATCTGGACACACCTGTACTTATGACACCTGGCTACCTTTTCCTACCTTCGGCGACACTTTTTTTACCTCTGCCTACCTAGGGAGGTGAGCATAGGCCGTCACAAATCTTTCGGTCATTGTCGATCACTTCTTCTTCTTCGGCTACTTCTTTAGGACCCAAGCCATCCGACTTGAGAACTGGATGGATAGCTTACCATTTGATCCAGTACCGCCTTAGGTATACTACTAACATTATCTGGACCCATAGTCATATTTGTCTTGATTCGCTTAATTGACTCGATTACGTCGTCCTCGGATATCTTGGGCATTACCAAAGCGTGGTTAGGAGAAATAACATCAAATAAGGGGGGATTAACATTTACAGGGTTGTCTAAAAATGAGTCACTAAAATAGTCGGTAAAAGCAGATGCAATAGCGGCACTAGTAGTTACATTCCTTTTTGGAATTATAGAATGACCAAACATTATTTGGATTTATTTTTAGTTCAGCTTCGACGTGGGCCAGATAGTTTTGATGGGCAGTCATATCATCGGCTTTAAAAACAGACCGCAAATGACATTAAGATCATCATTTTTCGTTTTTTTTTTTTTATTTTTTCCAAAATTTATTTTTTAAATTCAGCTTGTGAATTAAAGGACCAGTAAACCAGATGAGGTATGTTTTATAATAAGGTTTCTTCTTTGGTACATGTTGATCAAGAACAATATATAATAGGTGATAAAATAGGCTCAAAGCTTTATCAAAGTGTGAAATGTTAAGTAAAAATGTCCAGTCGACCAATAATAAGTCTCTATAAAGGGCAACAAAGTTTGCTTTTTTAAAGTTGTAAGCGAATGCGTTAAATACTGGAGTTTTAATAGTTTACTTCGAATGCCAACGCGGGATGATATCTGTCTTCTGGATATACCAAAACATCATCGGCCTTTTGGACCAATCATGAAGAAGTTAATTTAGTAACTATCAAAACGTTGTCTAGTAATCAAATCCTAACCTAACTTTTTCAAATAGTCCCAAAATATTTTATCGTAGTTTTGTAATGGTGTTCATTATAAATTTAGTGATAAGTCACAATTAACATTTTCTTAACATTTCTTTTACTTCTAGGATAACCGCATATTTTGTTGTATTACTGTATTGACCAGTAAATAAATAATTAATTAATTAAGATAATACACTTTTCCATTGATGTCAATTTATTTTCAGCGTGGTATTGGACTTAGAGGAGCTCAATCTCTAGCTAAACGATATGGAACACAATACGTAGTTGGAAATGTAGCAGAAACTATTTGTAAGTTAAAATATTTACTTAATATAAATTTAAAATAGTCTAATAGTAATTAAATCGGAGAACAACTTTCGAAACCTTACTGAGTTATCAATAAAAGGAACACTATATTGTAAGCCCTTACATATTGCCTTTATGATGAAATAAGTTTGATATATCTGTTGGAAATGCATCCAACATATTTTACTGATTCCTCAGGCTACCCCTGCTCCGTCAAAGTAATTAGAACGTTTGAAAATAATAAAGCACTAAATAACAATATCTTTCTTTTTCTCTACCGCGTAAACAAGCGACGCACAAATACATATTAGCCCTATCGATGATGTTATACAAGAGCCATGACAATTTCTCAACCCGAAACATAAGAATACAATGTAAAGGTAGCTGTGTCATGTCCAAGCATATATCACTTGCCGGTTTTTTCTTTAAATTAGTTAAGAGACAAAGTTTCTTAAAGTTATTCCAAGTAATTAAGATATAAGAAATGAATCGAGAGTATTTAAAGTGTGTAAACTGAGTTTTATTAAAAAAACTATGTAAAAATTTGTCTAAGCGCTTTCGACCTATTAGGCCATCATCAAAAACTCTACAAAGAGAAAAAACGGAGCTGTAACAATATAATCAACTCGTAACAATACTAAACAATGAATAAAAAACTTGAACACTAACTCGTTAAAAACTATAGAACAGACATGAAAAATGCACTAAGTTAAAAAGGACAGCAACAGACCTGTCCTCCCAAGTCACCACCATAGCTTGTAGCTAGGATAATTGAAAATAAAAGAACCACACCGAACATGTGGTTGAATTTTAAAAAATAAAGTGGGGGTTCATCCAAAAAAGTAAAACTGAACACTCCAAACCATTCAAAGGAAAAGATACTGCTGGTCTTCAACATGAAGACAGCCAGATTTTTCCAGTTACTACCGTGAGGCGGAGGCAAGTTGTGGCACAAAAAATAGTAGGTGCACGATATTTTTGAGAACATGACCATCTTGACAGTTTCCAAAAAAGACTGAGTGACAATTGACATTTGACAATGAAGTTGTCAAGAAAATTGCCAACTTGAGAAATTGAAATGAATTTCGTGAAAAATTGTCAAAAGTTGATATTGAAAATGATAAAAGTGGGTTGGTACCACTGATTTATCAAGATCAAGTTATGGCGGGACTTTTAAATTTTAAACAGCAAAAGATTTCCCTTTTTATTCACTTATATACTTAATTACCTTTTTTCTTTTTATTTTTCAGATGTAGCTACTGGTTCCAGTATGGATTGGGTCAAAGATACCTTGAAAGTACCAGTAGCGTTGACTTATGAACTTCGGGATAAGGGAAATAACGGTTTTCTTTTGCCAGCTGATCAAATTATACCAAGCGGCTTGGAAACATTGGACTCGCTAGTGACTATTTTACTACAAACTGATCGTTTGTTGTTAAACAGAAACAGAACTGTTGTTTAAATCGTTAATTAAGAATAAAATGTTAATTATTATGCTTGTCTTTATTGTAATATATTAATAAATAATAAATGTCGACGAACAACCTGACATTGCCATTTGAAGAACCCAGAAGAACCACACAATTTAGTTTATAAAGATATTTTTATGGAATCAACCAGATCTATGGTTAAAATACATTCATAAAATGCATTCTGAAAAATATAAATTTTATTTAGCAATGGCACATTTATTTATGATCAATATATTAATGACAAGCCAACTATTGTTGACAATAATAATTACAATAAAAAAAACTCCTCTAGAAATACCTTGTCAACTATTTTTTCCATTTTATTATGAACTGAACGGGATTTAGAGCTGGCATATTTAAAACAGAAGTTGAGTGGACAAGTTGAGCTTCAAAGGCCAAATAAGACAGAGAGGGATTTGGAGGATTAGAACATGACTGAATAATAAAATGGCTCGCATTACAAGAAAAATGAAATTATAATGACTAATATTGCATATCCAACGCAATTATTATTCCTAATTTGTTTAATTATTCTTATATATTATTCTTATAACATGCTTTGTCTATAAAATTTATATAAATTTTTCTATGACAATAAAGCATATATCTCTGTCTCTCTCTTTCAAGCGACGTTGAATTCCGTGCAAGTACACTTAAAGTTTGTAATGTTTTGAAGCCCTAACAGAACTGGGCAGTAAAACGTAACTAACAGCCTAGGTATTAAGCCACAAAGGACATAAGAGCAAAGAAGAAGCTGATTTACTAAGCCGAGAACAAGCCTTAAAGGCTCTTATTGCCCAGAACGCTACTCTGATGGCACAAAGATAACTATCATAACATGTTCAAAGCACTTGATGTTAAACAAATCTCAAGACCGGTGAAACAATCCACCAGAATTTTTTAATATACTAATTCTTATCATTTAAAAGTTTATCAAGAGGTACTTAACAATATCAGGAAAAACAATTTTTTTTTTTAATATTTAAATCTAACCAAAATTATTTTATCATGGATATTTATAACCCAATCAAAAGATATAATATCAACACTTTAATTGTAAAAAAATACCTAATCTTGAGAATTGAATGAAGATCAATAGATAAATCATTTTTTAATAAAATCCTCAAGTTTTATTGTTTCTACGTTAGTTCTATTTTCATTGTTGGAGGATCAATTAGTGTAAGTTGTTTTTTTTTATTTAAAAATTAAATTAATTATTTTTTTTTAAAATCAATTTATTTTCTTTTTTGTTGATTTGCACTGTACCTAGCTATATTTCAGCCAAGCAAATTAAGAGTGCACCCAACATTTTGTTTCCAAATGCAAAATAAATGTGATAGGTACAAAATAACTAAAAAAAATCAATTAAATCTAAAATTTTTACATGGAAGATAAAATAAAGCGAATGGACGTGAAAACGCAAGTTTGCTTTCTTGTGGTATAGTATTATGTTGGGTTCGCTGTACTACTACCATAACTCCTCCACCATTAGAGGGAAATTCTAGGGTTGACAAGAGGATTTTGAAGTTCCAAATTTGGGTTTTTTTGACTTCAGTTCTAGATTTTGGGAACTTGGCTTCTTTTCCTATGAAATAATTTAAGTAATCCAAAAATTATAAGTATTACGTGAATTTAAATCCTCCAAGCAATAATTTGATTCGGAAGGATTATGTCCAAAATTTCACTTATTTTGTATTTGTGAACTTCTAGTATATTTTGAATGTTTTCAACGTCATTTAAATTAATTGAGTCTAATTTAATCGGCGCGATTTTAACTTTTGAGTCTATTGTGAGTTTATTTTTAATGTTTGAGTTTGGAAGGTTTATTTCTGGTAATTGAAGACACAAGTGGATGAAGAGCCTATGTAGCAAAATAATTTTTACGAGATATTTCGTGTTAAAGTTTATTGTTTGGCATTTATTACCTAGTGCATGGGTCCTTTATACACTGGCAACTTCTATATTTGATGATATATTGTCACGGAAGACATTTTAAACGAATTTTACGTACATAAGCCCTCCATTTACAGAAAAACACCATTTCAAAAAAATGTTTTAAAAGCCCTTCATCCACTTGTGTCTACAATTTTGGTAATTACGAATTTGGGTACCATTTATGTTCACGTCACAGTCCGCAATGAGTTTCAAAAACAAAGTTTGCTCCGAAGGGGATGCTGTCTTTATAGATTCCACACTTTTGAATAGCTACAGTTTCTTCTGAGGTTGTGATGATTCAATGGTTCTTTTCCAGTTTTTGAATTCTTTATTTGGGCATCTAAACAGGCACTTGTTCACAAGACGTAACGTTTCTTCTGTAATTGTTTCGAGTAATTTCTTAACATTTAAAATGAGGTATTTGGTTTGAGGAATGATTACTTTAAAAGAATTTTACATTGGGGTGGCATAAACGTCATAAATGTGATAATAAGTGTAAATTTCACTTTCCTATGGGTATTTCAAGAATAAAAATTATTTGGTAACCGTTATTGTGATTTTTAATTTCGATTATTTTCTCAAACAGAATATTTTTCAATAGAAACCTCAATTTATTCTTAAAAATCTATTAGTGTTATATATATTTTTTCTTTTTTTAGGAAAAATGAAATTAATACTGCTAACAGCTGTAATTACCTTTTTCTGTGTATCAGCCGAAAAAGTAAGATATGACAACCATGCCGTATACAGATTTACGCCAAACAATGAGAACGAATTGAAAATATTACAAACGTTACAAAAATTGAACAAGTATAACTTTTGGACGGAACCAAGGCGTTCAGGTTTACCAGTAGACGTTATGGTGCCACCAGAATCGAAAGATGATATAGAAAACTTGATTTCAGAACACCAATTAACTTTTAAAATCATGATGGAGGATGTTCAGAAACAAATTGAGGAGGAGAAGTTGTTGAATGCGAAGAAAAGCAAATATTTCGATTGGGAAAGTTACCACACTTTAGATGAGGTAAGCAGTATTACTATCAGACAATTCAAATCCATTTTGGTTGATTGCTACATTTCAATATCTAACTTTAGCATTATATAATTTAAAATGAATCCACATTTCAGATATACGATTGGCTCAAAGATCTAGCTGCTCGATTTCCTAAAGAGGTGACACTTGTCAAAGGAGGTACTACATATGAAGGTCGAGATATTTTGGGAGTCAAAGTATCGTACTCTCCAGATAATGCAAACAAAACTGTATGGATTGATTCTTTAATACATGCTAGAGAATGGTAATTATTTACTTCACTACATACTTTAAATCTATCAATTTAGAGATGCATTTGGGTTAAGTCTCAGTGTTCTGATTCAGACCTCCTCTTTTCACATTGAGAGTTTGAGTTTTTGAGGTCGCTGAATTCAATTGACAGCTGTCAACTGTCAACGTCCTCAAAAACCAAAACTCTCAATGTGAAAAGAGGATATTTACTTTTATATTCCTCGTTGACCGTGCATTGACAGCTGTCAACGATCAATTTGTCCAATCTGACATGAGGGTTGAATCCAGTGACCTCAAAAACATTACCCTATATATTAGAATAATCAAAATATGCTTTTGACATTTGTAAATAGTATTGAAAATGAATAGTTTTGGAACGGGTCAGGGGAGCTTTGGCAGCTCCGTAGCTGCCAAAATATTCATTTTAGCACTTTGTAATGACAAAATCTACAACATATCAAAAATTCAGACAATTTGACACAAACCCAATTTTCATAAGATTATTGCAGAGTCCTTTCAGCTGGATGTTATAATGCTTGATTTTCAATTATGAGTATATATTTAGTTCCAGTGTATAGATGCGAAGGTGGCGCTCGCGTCGGTTAGTTTTGTATATTTTGTATATTAAATATTTCAGTCCCTCGACTGTCTAACATCCACCATTAAGTATATTAGAATTTACTCACTTGACTGTCTGACCCACCATTCAGTATATTAGAACTTACTCACTCGACTATCTGACATCCACCATAGAGTATCTTAGAACTTTGCACACTAAGTTATGTGACATCCAAGAAATTTATTTTAGATATGTTTGGATTTTCATTTTAAGATCTATTTTATGTTAACACATTAACTGCCAAAATTTTTTCTTGGGTTTAGCATAGAGCAAACAAGTTTTTTAAATGCATTCACTCTCTGTGACTATTTAATAAATATATGCATCTATATTAATACAAACAAAAACTAATCACTGTTAACTTGTTAGGATTGCTGGTGCTACGTCTACCTATATTCTAAATAAAGTGCTAACCAGCACTGACCGATTTATCCGAAAAATGGCTGAAAGCCATGATTGGTACTTCTTCCCAGTTATAAATCCCGATGGTTATGAATACACGCATACCACTGTAAGTTTTCTGCATAAATAATGTTAATTTCACTCTATCTAAAATTTCGATTCTATGTAACTGTCGCAGGACCGGCTTTGGCGTAAAACCAGGAAACCTTACAGTATATGCATTGGAACAGATCCCAACCGCAACTGGGGTTACAAATGGAATGAAGATGGTGGTTCAAGTGACAATCCATGTGCTGATGATTATGCTGGCCCGAATGCTTTCTCTGAAGTGGAAACCTCTACTTTGTCCCAATTTATGTCAGGAGTCGCTAAAGATATAATGCTGTTTTATACCTTTCATTCATATTCGCAGTTAATTCTTCTTCCTTATGGACATACAACGGAACATTTGGATAATTATGATGACGCTGTAAGTAAATTTTATTTGTTGAAATAAATCGTTTGGGGGACTGAAAAATTAATGCTGTTTAGCTAAGAGATTTACTCAGTGAAGATAAATTTTTAAAGTTATTTCTATAAATGCCTTTTCGATTATATTATGATTTTCATTACACTTACATTTTTTTATAGTATCAAGTTGCAATGGAAGCAGCCTCCTCCTTAGAAGAAGTACACGGTACCCAATATACAGTTGGTAATATTGCTGAAACCATTTGTAAGTATTTATAACCTAATATTAATTATGGAGATACAATAAGATCTCGCAAATTGTGAAAAACCACAACGTATTGATGTGAATATCATAGGACATGAATGGACTTAAACTAGGGGTGAGCTATGTCATAAGGTCACCTGCATCTTCTACGCGCTAATAAGTGATTTATTTTTATGTTTTATCGTTTTTGATAAGCGATTTATTACTAGGTTTTACCTTTGATAGCTCCATCTTGCTGAAAAAACAGCTCATTTTCTTCAATTACAAGATTTCCATCTTGATCCCGCTGATTTTCAACTTCAACCGTTATCAAGGGATCTATGATATCCTGCAGCTGCTCTAAATATACCTCGCCAGTCGAAGTCTCATTAATGAAAATCGGACCGACTACCGCATCACCTAGTATTCCTGCCCATACATTTAATTTCTGAGGAGCTTTAGTATGCCCCTCTCTAAAAATGTGAGGAATCTCATCACTCCAATATCGGACATTCTGTTTATTGACTGCGCCATGCAGATAAAAACTACATTCGTCACTAAAGCAAATGTTTTTTATGAGGTTTGGGTTTGCGTTTATCATTTCCGTCATAATTTCGCAAAACTGCAATCTCCTATCAAGATCATCGTCCACAAGCTCCTGAAGTATCTTCATTTTATAGGGATGGAATTTAAAAAGTTTTGTCACTTTACGTACCGATGAATACGAAAGTCCAGTGGTCGTAGCAATCTGACGCAAAGAACTGGTTAGATCTAAAGTAAAGTTCCCCACCACTTCAATCTGAGCCATTTCATTAACTATTCTGTTACCTTCTCTCTTCATATTTTTCACCGATCCTGTTGCTTGAAACTACCGTACAAGTTGCGTGACATATTTGTGCTACATTCGCTTATCTGGATGTCTCGCATTAAAAACTCTGGCAGTGGCGCGGGCACAATTCTGCTCCTCACCATAAATTAAAATAACTTCTACCCGCTCGGCAATAGTGTAAACTATTTTACAGGGAATAAATCAATTGACATACCAACTGACTGCAAACTACTTGGATTAAATCTAATCCGTCAAAACGGCTTGTAAAGATGCGCAAAAAATTGCAGATAAAAATGCATACAAAAAGAGCGATAACGTGATATCACTCATCAACCGTCTTCAAAAAATGAAGCAAAAAATTTAAGTAAATTTACGACAGGAGATAAATTGTTGAATGAGGAAGGATTCCTATTATTCTCAACGGTGGTAATTTTAAGAATCTATTATGATGTATGTAATTTAAGTCGGTTTATTGCAATTTGTCTTTTTTCTTGAACCACCCTGTACAAAACGAAATAATTCTTACATGGTCGTATGGTAAATGCAAAAACCTTTCCAACGAGGGGTCACTTGGCCCCCTTGCTATTGAAGGTTTTTGAGGTGGGGGCTGGTGGGGCCATGGGGTTGATTCGACAAAATCAGTTGTGATCTAAAAATGTGTCCCCCTAAGGATAAAAATTTAACTGTTTTTGGATTTTACCTAAATCAAGACGAGAACGAAGTTATCGAGGGTGGATCCTTTTCAAAAAATCACCCTGTATAACGTGGTCCATAATTGTTGAATACATTTATTTCCTAAAATACCTTTCTCAAAGTGTCATAAAGTTATTTACGATAAATAACAAATTATTTCTAAATTCTGGCGCCCAAACATCCATTGCCCAATTGGCAGAGTCCAAAGATCCCAGCGGTCGAACAGCTAGCGGTCAAACGATGGAACCCAGCTGGCTGCGCCCAAATGTCTTGTTTCGTTCCTAAGGGCTAATCACCTCTTAATATTGTCAGACCACACGTATACGCCAACCATTAGCAAAGTTGCGTTCCTTTAACCAAATTGCGCTAGCTCCATAGGTACTTTTTTTAAATCTAGATCTTAAACCACTTCGTAATTTTTGTAAATATCTACATCTATTGACTAAATGACGTCGATTAATATCGTCTAAATCTACAATTTCATGATATGTTATTTATGAGTGCTTCTACATCACATAATAAAGTTACTAATTCTTTATACTTTTATTATTGTTTGTTTTTCTAAGTTTCTTCTTATTAGTTCTTTAACCATTCTCACCATACGTTTCCATCATCCATCCCAAACAATTTTAAATCAATTTCTTTACCCTCGTCGATTTTAAACTATTCCCATAACTCTATCTATAAAAAATAGACAAAATCTATGCCTGACACAAGAAATTTGACTGGTCATCACCAAGTACGGAAGCATCACCATAGCATACTCCGTTGGTGGTGCAAATAGGAATATGATACTATCGAGCAATTTATTCGCTCGCTTAAGGTAGTTCACTCGCGACAGTCGTACATAAAAATATCGCGTAATAGTGAATACCAAAAATTCGAAATTCTCAATACTAATCAATTTTATTTTTGTAAGAGACTGTACAAAACACATGTATATAAAATATATAAAATATGAACTGTATGGTATAGAAATTTGTGACTTCCTCATACTAATTTTAAGGGTTTGTTTTGGTTCAAACAGAACCGCTGATTCCATTTCTCAAACACAGTGGACGAATTAATTTTTCAAGAACACGTCGCGAGTTTATAACAACCTCTTAGCTGATCGAGAGTTACTTTGTTACGTGAAGTGGTTGCAATATTGCCAAGTTGTAATAATTTTACGAAATTACTCGTCAACTGTTTTAAAAATATTTTTATTTTAAAATCTATCTTTTTACTAAGACGGTCAAAAAATTCAGCGATTTTTTATAAAATTTTATAACTTCTTGATTTATTTAACATTAGTTTTTAAAAAATATGGTAAGAACCATTTTCGAGATATCTTGAAATAAATGCATTGCTTTTGTACATGACAGGCTTCAAAAGTGTTAGTTATGCACATTTTGATTATTAATATCTCGTTTCACAGAAAAAAAATGGCACAATCCATTTTCTTTTGGAAAGACCTTTCCAACAAGGTGCCACAAGTGGTATCATCCCATTTAAAAAACTGAAGTCGGGGTGAGTTTTACCCTGTAAAGGGGGTGAAAAAAAATTTTTTTTGGTATGACCGGAAAGCTTACAAAAAAACTCAATCGACGTGTTTTTGCGATTTATCCACATTTTTCAACCTGAAGCTGTAGCGAATTTGCGCCAGTTATATAAAGCCTGTATATAGATCTATTGAAAACTCATGTCTCCTGTTTTAGATGTCGCTACTGGTTCCAATATGGATTGGCTGAAAGCAAACTACCATGTACCATACGCTTATGCATACGAACTAAGAGATACCGGAAATTATGGATTCCTCCTACCAGCAGACCAGATAATACCAACGGGAGAAGAAACTTTAGATTCCATCATGACGGCTCTGGTGGAAATTGAAAATGTTATAGAATAATTTGAAGTAAATAATGATTGACATTTTGTAGTATATATTGTAAATAAATAGTTGTTTTAACTTTAAATTCATTCACCTCTTACATGTGATTTTAATCACCTGGGTCACCTTGTAGGAAATAATAGAATATAAAATGAAGTTATAGGGGTACATTTAGTGATTATAACGTAATAGTCACTTAATCGAAGTGGCGATATAAGTTTCTGTCACTATAATGCTACTTGGGATACTTTATTTTATAAAATAATTTATGTAGAAATCATTTAAAATTTAATTTAGAACTACTACCTACTACTAAAAATTATAATTTGAATTCACGGCCATCGGACAATTGTCATTTTAGTTCTTGCTCCAAACACAAGGTGGCGCTAGTTTGGTTTAAAAGTCTAACATTGGCGTGGGGTCTCTAGAGGATACGTGCTTTGTGTTGTCAACCGTCCGAAGCCACAGCATATGGAACCGAAGCCACCGAAATTACTGAAATTAGATCAAAGTGCCGCCGCTTGAGTGATTTTGCTGGTATACCTATGCTATACTGATAGTATAGCACGTGTGTAATTGCGTTATTTTGTGATAAATATACCTACCTTCATAATTCGTTTGTATTTATTTGTATTATTTCTAATTCAAAAAAGGGTACGAGATAAAATTCCAATGTACTGATAAGAAAGATATTCTGTTAAAATTTAGCGTCAATATGTTAGATTTTTTAGTTTTATCAGAATCAGATAATCTCAAAAGGAATTTACACGTACTTATAGTCAATTAACACATGGATACATTTGAGAAAATTTCATAATTTATATTGTTCTTTTTCCTAACGGAATTTTACTTTTACTTGGAGATACTTTCAAGTACTACTAGGAAAAAATTATAATATATTTTTTAAATATATTAAATCTAACCAATACTCATATAAAAAAATTACAAATCATTATTTTATCACTGATATTTAAATTCCAATCAAAAGATATCAACATTTATTAATTAATAGTGCCAATATTTTATTTGGCGTTCCAAAGTTTAATTGTAAAAAATTACCTAAACTTGAGAATTGAAGATCAATAGATAAATATTTATTTATTAAAATCTCCAAAATTTTTTTGTTTCTAATTTAGTTTAATTTTTTTTGTTGGAGGATTAATTAGGAGGATTATTTATGTATGCTTGGTTGCATATACTGTACGGCCTTGTTGTTGTAGCACCCAAACAGTAAACTATGTACGTAATAAAGCTCCCATTATTTATTAATAGTTTTATTACATTTAACAAAACAAATAAGGAATCTTCTGTAAGGTCGGACTCCAAATCATAGAGCCGTATTTCAGTTTAGATCTTACCAGGCAGCGATACAAAGATGAAAGCGCCGATAAATTTGTAAAATTCCTACAATTTCGAACAATGAAGTCATAGGTACGATAAGCGGAATAAGATATTTTAATTGTTTACAAAAAATCAATTAATTTCGAAACACTCACCATTTGAGACAGCCCATTGCTCCTTCACCCTCCATTCCATTACTTGGTCCAGTATTTCTTTCCTTTTTCCATAATATTCAATATTTCAAGTAGTTTTCCGATAAAATCGCGTCCGGAAAATCTTCTATTCCCGACAACATCAATGATCATCGTATCATATCCAATTCTATATCAACCCTTTGATACGTTAGATTTTTCAAAAAAGATGTATCGCAGGCCAGAATATCTGCAGCCTTGTCCATTTGATCCTAGAAGGTACATCCGAAGACGCAACAACGTAAATCAAAGATCTACACTGACCATCAAAGGACATATACATTGTAAGATCAAACGTCTTTATTGTCAGTGGTGAAACGAACATGAGCTCAAACCATTGATATCGTGCTACCGATTAACTCGAAATTTGCGGCGATTTAAATTTGTTTACGGGTATTCGCTGAAAAGAAAAACAATTATTAGGAAACTTGTAAAATGTCAAAAGGGAAGGATTTTATTGAAGGAAACTGAAGAAGACTATTTTCGCAATAATTAACCTCTATTTTAAGATTTACGAAAAATATTCTTTTATAATCTATTGATGGTTAAAGTCTAAAAGCTCGTAAATCAATTTTTATGTGTATTTGATTATAAAAATTGGCAAATTGCAAATATTTCAAAAATACAAAAGCTCATAAGCCAAATTTTTATGAGAATTAAAACTAATAACATAAGTTTCAAACTTTTGCAGCTTAAAAATATCTGCAATTTGCCAACTTTTCCAATCAAAAACGCATAAATCACAAAATCGACTTACTAGTTTTTTCACTTAACCATCGCTATCTACTATTTTTTATTAGAGGTAAATTTTATTATTTGTTTTTTATATCAGTGTCATCAGCTGTGTTGATTGAAAGAATTAATCTATTAATAATATTAAGCGACATTTCCTTAAGACTATTCAAAGGCAATACCTACAACAAAAGGTGAGAATTTTTTGGGAAATTTTATTTTTCATATATCTATTTTTGTACCATTACTGTGCAATTGGTCTTGTACTGTTGAGTAATGTAATATTAAATAAAATTAATTACATGATATTTTTTTGCTATTTTAGATAATACAATGTTTTTTACTTAATTCTATAAGATTAAATAACAAAAAGTATCCACTATACCCGGTGTTCAAATTAAAGTGTTACAGCTAAATACCGCCTTATATAAAAAAAAACGTTTCAGACGAAAGTTTTATAGTTTTGTGGGGAAAAATTTTTGGCTAAAATCGTTTTTTATAGCTAACCATAATAAGAAGAACCTTTTTTCGCCCGGCAAAATTTTCAAGTAGCTGTTACTCAAAAAGTAAAAGTCCAATAAAAAAAAATATTTCCATCAAAAGTTTCTTATTTTTGTATGTACTTTAAGAATATGTAAAAAATGGGATTCCCATTTAAAAAAAAAAAACAAAGTCCACCTCGATATGGCCATATTATGGTCAGATATAAAAAAAATAATTTAGCCAAAATGTTTCCCCCAAAAAACTATAAAACTTTTGTCTGAAACTTTTTTTCTAAAATACATATTTTCGGCGGTATTTAACTGTATCACTTTAATTTGAACACCCGGTATATACCTTTAAATGTATAATAAAAAATATAGGATTAAACAAAAAGTATTATTTGACACTTTTGATAAATTAATTATTGATCTATTTAGTAAATCACCCTGTATCTAATAAAAAGGATAGTTACACACATTTTACAAATATAACATACAAAAAAGTCAAATAAAATCATACGTTAATAATTTTATTATAAAAAAGCCTACGTCGGAATTTACTAATCACCCTGTATATACACGTAGAATATCGTCGCTATCAAGTCAATTAAAGCTGTTATTATTATCTACTATAAATACCGGTGTGAAGTTAGCAGTAACTTTTAGCAGTAAAAATAACCGAAAACCCCCGATCGGGAAAACAGTGGCATACAACACTATTTAAATAATCTTATCAATATGTATTTTACAAATTAATATCGACAAATAATTAATATACGTTTCAAAATAACTCTTAAAATTGATAAAAATATTTATCCTACGAAGGAAATCAGATCCAAATTTAATTTTACATTTAAAAAATCATAAATACACTCACCAAAGTACACTGTAAGCAAAAATCCCTTCCGACCCGTCAAACAGGGTGAAATTAACCCTTCAACTTCAAAATAAATAATAACCCAATGAAGACGATCAGATCCCAACTTGGTTTTACATTAAAAAAAGCATAAATACACTCTTCATCGTACACTGTAAGCAAAAAACTCTTCCGACCCGTCAAACAGGGTAAAATTATCCCTTAAATTTTTAAATAAATAATTTTGCTTATAGCCGGGGGACCTATTTTCAAACCGTGTGAGTACTCATTTCTCTCAAGATTCTCATCAGAAATGTCATACGTCAATGTGGAAACGCTGTTTTTAAAGGCCTCGAGGATTAAAATGCTTAGGAGGATATTAATTATCTCTAAATAAACCGTGAGAAACAATCAGTGAGTTTACACTGGCCCTTAGGACCCTAAAAATACTGATTTACGTTGACGTATGACATTTCTCTCGAGAGAAATGAATTCTCTCGACTTTGAAAATAGCACCCCGGAGAGCTAGTAGCACACATTCCATACTCATTCATATTTTAAAAACATCAACTTTGGGGTTGATTTATCAATTATAAACCCTCTCAAAAGTGTCTGCCTAAATTACTAGTATTTTTAGAATTACCTAAACTTTCAATTGTTGTTTGTTGGCCTCTGAATCAAACACTTTTTTTGGGTCATATTTTACGACCCCTTTCTATTATGCGCAGTACCTGGTGTCCCGGGGGCATGTTTCAATTCCGTCATCTATCTCGGCACCATAGCCAAAATAAGACGTTCTGATTGGTTGCATCGTATTAGCTGACTGAGTGCCGAGATCGCGGTCGGAAATGACTGCGGAGTGCTCAGATGGTAGTTGGAATTGACTGTAGGTATTATTGACATACGTGCTGAGTTGTGAAACATTTATTGTCATGCAATGATTTTGTTTTACATAAAGGTATTTACGTTAATTGAAACTACCTAAGTATGGAAAAATTATTACCCACATCGTTTTGTAACTTAAGTCTTCATGTCAAGTGTATTCGAAGCAATATAAAAAGTGAACAGGACTTGCGCCAATGGGTAGAAGAATATAGTGTATTGAGCAAAACAAACTGGAACATTCAAAAGTACATTAAGTCAGATAGATTTGTAGTAAGGTAAGACATAATTTAAATAAATTGGGTAATTAATATAGTATTACGTGTGCATGTTTTTTTCCAGAATTGTTTGTCTATGCCATCATACAAATTTTAAAAGAGTGGATCCTAAATGTAATTAACGAGGGCGGTCCAATTGTGGTTGTCCAGCAGAAATGCACATTAAAATAAAATTAACCACCAAGGATACCATGAAAAAAGATACTTATGTTAAGGTAGGTATAAGCGTATTAACTGATAACATATGTAGAACCAAAAAAAGGTTGACGGCTGTGTGCACGTATAGATTAAAAAGGAAAGACTTGTATTTCGTGCAAAATTATTAATAA